GCAGCAAATTTGCCACAAACTTGAGGGAAGTTTTCAGCAACAAATTCATTTTTGTAAGGGTTCTGTTTTCAAAGATTTAGCCTACGATACAATAATTGTGATCATTTTAAGGAGAACGAAAAACTATACTGAACAAAAATAAAAACGCTTCATGTAAAGTGTTTGTCCTATGTTTCATGGGCAGTCATAAAAGAGCCCAGAAATTTTCCTTTCAGAGAAAATCTTATTTCTCTCAAATTTTGTGCCCACATTTTTTACATCCCTGTTAGTGAGAATTTGGCAGTACGTCAAACCGGCCTCACAACCGCAGACCAGAGTGCCCCATGGTTATGGTGGGGTTATGGTATGGGCAGTCATAAGCTACGGATAATGAACACAATTGCATTTTATTTAATGCAATTTGAATGCACAGAGATACCGTAACAAGATCCTGAGGCCCATTGTCGTGCCATTCATCCACCGCCATCAACTAATGTTTTAGCATGATAATGCACGGTCCCATGTCGCAAGGATCTGTACACAATTCCTGGAAGCTGAAAATGTCCCAGTCCCAGGCCTGCATACTCACCAGACATGTCACCCATTGAGCATGTTTGGGATGCTCTGGATTGACATGTACGACAGCGTGTTCCAGTTCCTGACAATATCCTGCAACTTCGCACAGCCATTGAAGAGGAGTGGGACAACATTCCTCAGGCCACAATCAGTAGCCTGATCAACTCTACGCGAAGGAGATGTGTTGCGCTGCATGAGGCAAATGGTGGTCACACCAGATACTGACTGGTTTTCTGATCCACGCGCCTACCTTTTTTTTATAGGTACAGTATCTGTGTTCAACTGATGCCTATCTGTATTCCTAGTCATGTGAAATCCATAGATTAGTGCCTAATTTATTTATTTGAATTGACTGATTTCCTTATATGAATTGTAACACAGTAAAATCTTTGAAGTTGTTCCATGTTGTGTTAATATTTTTGTTCAGTATTGTATAACGTCCTAGCATTTAAACCATACTTGATTTTAATAAATTCAGGTACTAGAAAAACTTTCTTTTTTCACATGGTGAGAATGTGTCATGCCCGATTGCGTTGTTTCGCATTACTGGTTAATTTTTGTAACACATCCCCATATCTGATTATCAACTGTTGTCAAAGATGAAATTTGTATGACATCCGGGCATTTAAAGTATTCTAGATTTTTGAAACGTCGCATTCAATAATTTATTTTTTTCATAATCAAATGGCCTACTAGAAGGATGCAATTATTCGGACACGGCCACTGCCCTCTTAGGAACTCAGTCGATGACCTATTGCTGTTAGATCTAACAATGACTCCTCACTTCTCAATCTGTCCAGTCAGCAACAGACTTCAATGACCTATAAGTGAAATTGAAGGGTTTAGATGCAGTATTCGTTTCCTTTCGATGTATTGTATTGGGGCCATAGCAGTGGAGGCTGCTGAGGGGAGGACAGCTCATGACAATGGCTGGATGGAGTGAATGGAATGGTATTTGATACCATTCCACCTACTCCGCTACAGCTATTACCACGAGCCCGTACTCCCGAATTAAGGTGCCACCAACCTCCTGTGGGCCATGGTCATGGAGTTAATTCCAACAAAAGGGACCATGGGAGTCCATGGGAGCCAAAGACGATCTAAAGTTCCAGACAGCTCATTCATAATGGAGAAAGGAGACATGCTCTATTTTCCCACCCTGTCCTTAACCTCTGAAGCAACTCCCTTCATTTAGTCAGCTGATTTCGCCTGAACTTTTCTCTGAAATTAGCTGACTTTCTGAGAGAAGGTGTGCAGACTGCAGCATTATGGAGCATAAGTTCTGTCAAAGGTTCCCCCTTAGAATAATAGAGAATGTAAACAATGTCAGTGAAGTGACATAAACTGGGCTCCTGAGAGGCGTAGCGGTCTAAGGCACTGAATCTCAGTGCTTGAGGCGTCACAACAGACCCTGGTTCGAACCCAGGCTGTATCACAAACAGATGTGATTGGGAGTCCCATAGGGTGGCACACAATTGGCCCAGTGTCGTCCGGGTTTGACCGGTGTAGGCCATCATTGTAAATAAGAATTTGTTCTTAACTGACTTGCCTAGTTAAATAAAATGCAATGTGTGTATGAATTATTAGTTGAAACGCGTTGCAGTTGTGCGTCCTGATAATGTCGTGTATATTATAAAATAAGGATTTGCTGAAGTCCAAGTCAAACTAAGATTCTTTATTTCTGAGCTCAGAGGGAACAACAGAGTTACACAGCGCGGTGTAGACAGTCTGAATTCCGAAGCATTGTTTGATAAGCACATACCTTTACAGTTTGCTGTTCTTGGGCTGGACTTTCAGTTTTACTTTTATCCATGCAAGGACACAGGAGCAAGCTGGTTTGCAACACAGGATGATACTCCCGAAAAAATGAGATTATAATAGGACAGTTTCACACAGTTTCACAAGGTTAGTCACATACTCAGTTATGTGGAGACATACAATTACAATTTCCCATTACACTCCTCTCCTTTGTTAATCCCTTAACAACTGTTTAATCAATTTTAAATGTAGCAAGCTTCTCAAGGCATAATGTCCTGTAGTCCACCAATTCTTCCCTGTAAGTGTCATCCGTTGTGAGACTGAGTTTAAAACCTTTAACCCTTTGCACACACCATATACAGTTCTAACTTGCCAGTTTCTGCTGATGATTAGGTTCAATTTTAATATAAATATTCAAATTATTATTATTCTTCAAGAGCTGAAGGGTGAGGGGTTGGAGCCCAACTGGGCACTGGGTAAAGGTCAGGCCAGACAGCACTGTCTTCAGCAGTAAAGGGTAGCTCAGCTAATCCTTCACAACCTGCATTCTTGCCCTGGGTCATGGCAACATTGAACATTACATTCGGCCTGGAATTCGTTACCAGTTTTAGAACAAGCAGCAGAATCAGTACAATGACTAAAACTACGGTCAGACACAGTTGCATGATCCACCCTCCAAACCCGGTATTATCTGGCCTAGCAAACGATGGTGGGCCTGTAATACAGAGAACGTCATGGGGTCAAGGTTACATGGTATCTCCACTAAGAATGGTAAGACCATTTGCATAGTCATATTTACCTCTATAGGAACTCCCACAGCGGTAAACCTGCTCCTACCTTAACTGGCCCCAACCCACACCCAACACTCTTTTTGTCCAGATGTAAGATTAGCAACCATTTCTGCTCTAGATAAGAACACATAGTTCTCATTGTTGTGAGGGCCCAGCAGGGCTCTCTTTCGAAGATTACCAAATAAGTTTACTGGCAGCCTACTTGTTTTCTTTCTCCAATCCCCCGCAAAAATAGCACAATAAACACTGCAAGACATTTTTGTGAAATAGTATCCACACACTGGTGCGGCTTCATCTCAATGTATTTTTACATTTCAGGCTTTTCGATTTCCATTCTCCTTTCTCTTGTTTATCTCATGGCTATCTTCCCACTAATATTCCTTTATGTAATTCAGCTTTTACGTGTGTATTTTTCTGTCTTTTTAATAATAATAATATTGAATTTGTAGAGCGCATTTCCCACACTCAATGCACATGTGAAGCTTGTTGGGGCTTACTTCTGTGTGCAACTCATTTCACGGCTGCAGTTTGAGCTTATTTATTCCCTTTTATTTATGAAAATTAGCTGATACTGGCCTTTATTATTTATGATTTAGCTTAATTAAATTGATTTATCTTATGGTGTTTCTATTCTGAGAAAAACTAAAATAGATTTTACAGTACCTAAAACATCCATTAATATACTCAACAAAAATATAAATTCAACATGCAACAGTTTCAAAGGTTTTACTGAGTTACAGTTCATATAAGGAAATCAGTCAATTGAAATACATTCATTAGGCCATAATCTATGGATTAAAAAAAAAAAAACATTTTCAGCTCATGAAATATGGGACCAACACTTTAAAAGTTGTGTTTATATTTTTGTTCAGTGTACATTTCAAGTCCTTCAAAATAGAAAATACATATCCTAATGTTAGAAAGTAGAATATAAACTAGATAAAGGCTACTGTGGGTGGGGTAGGCTAAATAATTACAATGAATTAGGCTAAATAATTGCCTAATAAAAAAACAATTGATAATGGAAACAAAATATTATAGGCAGAGCATGCCCAAGGCTTGTAGCTGAGCAGTACCAGAGTGAAACTGGAGCCTGAGAGAAGGCCGACAAGATTTTAAAAGATTGCTCAATTACACTCTGCACAAACGATTGTCACCTGTGATGCCTCGGCACTCGCCCTTGGAGCTGTTTTGTCTCAACTGCATGGAGGCGTGGAACAGCCAGTGACTTTTGCCTAAATGAGCCTTGTCTCCGACTGAACAAAAGTACTCTGAGGCCCTGGCTTTCATGTGGGCGTGCGAGCACTGGCACTTGTACTTGTACGGCAGACCATTCAAACTCTGCACAGACCATCAAGCCCTCACAGCACTGCTGGCCACACAGGGCTCCGGACACAAGCCTCTACGGCTTTTCAGATGGGCAGACTGTCTGAACCAGTAAAATTTCAACCATGATCTCTCTTCTCTGAAATCAGCTGACTTTGTGAGAGGAGGTGTAGGCTACTAGTGAGGTGGGAGGAGAATGACCCTACACCTGAGAGTGTTGGGCTGTTTCACTCTATGCAACACCTAGTTGGCAGGGATGTATCTGTAGAGAATTCCTCTTCCAAGGAAGACAAAGGACATGACTTCCGTGTGCATTTGTTTACATCTGGCTGGCGCCACTGAATCTGTCTCTCCTGTCTTGACCTGAGCAGATATCAATCAGCACACAGCTCATGGTCTCAGCACATCAGCAGATACCCACTCGCCCCACACACTGTACATGAGCTGTGCATGCATCCTCTGATTGGCCAAGGACTATTAGCTGCTCTTTCACTGGCAGGCTGGACCAGGCCCATGCTCGTGAACAGCTATAAAAAAAATACCTTCTCCCACCTAGCTGTTTGTTACAGTGCAGATCACGGGTGGATTTCTGGATGTATGTTCATGGAATGCCTAGGCGAAAGTGAGTAGTTGTTATTGTTGTTATGGCTTGGGTTTGTGTTTTTACTTCTGTTAGCGCTTGTTGCTATCATTCCATGTATTGTTGTAATTGGGTTATTTTATATGTTCAGGTAGCATGCTCATATTAACATTCTTCATTAATAGTTCATTTATTACTCTCTATACATTTTACTCATTTAAAAAACAATTATGTTGTGTAAACTTTGATATTTATATTTAGCATTTCATCTCAAATAGCTAGGTAGATTTGTACAATGAGTTTAGTTTGCTGAATTTATTGAGACTCTCAACCTTGCAGCAATTTAAATTGTGCTGGCGGGGATCATTAACATATTGACCAGGGTTCCCTTTTTGGCAAATTTAATTTTATTTATTGATTTTATTCGCCAGTAAATACATTTCTAACACATTTCAGTGAATATTGATGCTGAATTCAGATTTGTTTTCTGATAGCAAGAAATGTGTTTTATAGCAGCCTTCTTTCAACATAAATTACTTTAATTGTACCATATTATAGTTAATCAATCTTAAAATGTATGGTACTAGAAATCATAATTGATCTCAAGTTAAAAAACACATTTGCCTAATGTGCGTAATTTTTTCCTGCCAAGTTGCCAACAGTAAACTTTTAAATCCTGTGGAACCATTTACCTTATACACTGAGTGTACAAAACAGTAAGAAAACCTTCCTAATATTGAGTTGCATCCCCCCCTTTTGCCCTCAGAAAAGCCTTAATTAATCGAGGCATGGACTCTACAAGGTGTCGAAGCATTCCACAGGGATGCTGGCCCATGTAGACTCCAGTGCTTCCTACAGTTGTGTCAAGTTGGCTGAATGCCCTATGGGTGGTGGACCATTCTTTTTATTTATTATTTATCTTTTATTTCACCTTTATTTAACCAGGTAAGCCAGTTGAGAACAGGTTCTCATTTACAACTGGCCAAGATAAAGCAAAGCAGTGCGATAAAAACAACAACAACACAGAGTTACATATGGGGTAAACAAAACATACAGTCAATAACACAATAGAAAATCTATATACAGTGTGTGCAAATGTAGTAAGTTATGGAGGTAAGGCAATAAATAGGCCATAGTGCAAAATAATTACAATTTAGTATTAACACTGGAGAGATAGATGTGCAAAAGATGATGTGCAAATAGAGATACTGGGGTGCAATTGAGCAAAATAAATAACAATATGGGGATGAGGTAGTTGGGTGGGCTAATTACAGATGGGCTGTGTACAGGTGCAGTGATCGGTAAGCTGCTCTGACAACTGATGCTTAAAGTTAGTGAGGGAGATAAGTGTCTCCAGCTTCAGAGATGTTTGCAGTTCGTTCCAGTCATTGGCAGCAGAGAACTGGAAGGAATGGCGGCCAAAGGGGGTGTTGGCTTTGGGGATGACCAGTGAGATATACCTGCTGGAGCGCATACTACGGGTGGGTGTTGCTATGGTGACCAATGAGCTAAGATAAGGCGGGGATTTGCCTAGCAGTGATTTATAGATGACCTGGAGCCAGTGGGTTTGGCGACAAATATGTACTGAGGGCCAGCCAACGAGAGCGTACAGGTCACAATGGTGGGTAGTATATGGGGCGTTGGTGACAAAACGGATGGCACTGTGATAGACTACATCCAATTTGCTGAGTAGAGTGTTGGAGGCTATTTTGTCAATTACATCGCCAAAGTCAAGGATCGGTAGGATAGTCAGTTTTATGAGGGCATGTTTGGCAGCATGAGTGAAGGAGGCTTTGTTATGAAATAGGAAGCCGATTCCAGATTTAACTTTGGATTGGAGAAGCTTAATGTGAGTCTGGAAGGAGAGTTTACGGTGTAACCAGACACCTAGGTATTTGTAGTTGTCCACATATTCTAAGTCAGACCCGCCGAGAGTAGTGATTCTAGTCGGGCGGGCGGGTGCAAGCAGCGTTCGATTGAAGAGCATGCATTTAGTTTTACTAGCGTTTAAGAGCAGTTGGAGACTATGGAAGGAGTGTTGTATGGCATTGAAGCTCGTTTGGAGGTGTGTTAACACAGTGTCCAATGAAGGGCCAGATGTATACAAAATGGTGTAGTCTGCGTTGAGGTGGATCTGAGCAGCAGCAAGCGCGACATCATTGATATACACAGAGAATAGAGTCTGCCCGAGAATTGAACCCTGTGGCACCACCATAGAGACTGCCAGAGGTCCAGACAACAGGACCTCCGATTTGACACATTGAACTCTGAGAAGTAGTTGGTGAACCAGGCGAGGCAGTCATTTGAGAAACCAAGGCTATTTAGTCTGCCAATAAGAATGCAGTGATTGACAGAGTCGAAAACCTTGGCCAGGTCGATGAAGACGGCTGCACAGTACTGTCTTTTATCGATCCTGGTTCTAATATCGTTTAGGACCTTGAGCGTGGCTGAGGTGCACCCATGACCAGCTCGGAAACCAGATTGCATAGCAGAGAAGGTACGGTGGGATTCGAAATGGTCGGTGATCTGTTTGTTAACTTGGCTTTCAAATACTTTCGAAAGACAGGGCAGGATGGATATAGGTCATGTAACAGTTCTTGATACACACAGGAAACTGTTGAGCATGAAAAACCCAGCAGTGTTGCAGTTTTTGACACAAACCGGTGCGCCTGGCACCTACTACCGTACCCATTTAAAAGGCGCTTAAATATTTTATCTAGCCGGTTCACCCTCTGAATGGCACACATACACAATCCATGTCTCAAAGCTTAAAAATCCTTCTTCAACCTGTCTCCTCTCATTCATCTACACTGATTGAAGTGGATTTACCTAGTGATATCAATAAGGGATCATAGCTTTCACCTGGATTTATCTGGTCAGTCTATGTCATGGAAAGAGCAGGTGCTCACAATATGTTTTACACTCAGTGTATTTTTTTAATGACTAACATTCCTGAGTCTTCCAATGATTGAAACTATGTTCTCCATTTACAGATCTTAAACCCCTGTCAACTTCTTCTGGATCACACAACTATAAGATCATCATGGCATGCAAGTGAGTGTCAACATATTTCATTGTTATTTTATTTGTTATTGAATGTTTAACAGACTATTGACATACTGTATGCAAATAAAAAATGTATATGCAGTTTTTTCAGACCCAGATTAAACCTACATCTGGACTACAATGCATGCTGAATGGAGAATCTCAATTGAAAGTGCTTTTTAGTCCAGGAAAAGGCTTAATCTAGGTGCGGAAAACTAGTCTCCACAGTCCACTTGATTTGATAAGTAATCATGCGATTGGTTGAAAGCTATATAACATTTTTAGCAGAAAAATGTGCCTTATTGGTTTTAATATTTTTGCCCTCAGATCTCTGAGAGAACATATGATTCTTTCTATAAAGTAAAACACAATTGTAAGTTACATTTTATTCAAATGGATAACATATGTTCATTTATTTCCCATGATTAGTGTCACATCGTCAAAAATGCAAGACATTATTTCAAAAAGTATCCTTATCGACCAAGGACCTCCTGAACGGTATGAACTAGTAACAAAGAAACAGAGTCTGGACCAGGATGATAAACTCAGAAGATGGACCTTTGGAGAGAGAGATCCCACCAAGGTCAACAGAACCATTCTGATGGTGGGAGAAACAGGCACAGGGAAGTCAACTCTGATCAATGCCATGGTCAATTATGTCCTGGGCGTAAATCAGGAGGAAAAAGTCTGGTTTGAGATTGTGGAGGAGGAAAAAGAGGAGGAAAAAAGAAGTCAGACTGAAACTCAAACTACAGGGGTCACTGTTTATGATATCTTTGGGTTTGAGGACGTGCGAGTCCCCTACTCTCTCACCATCATCGACACTCCTGGGTATGGAGACACCAGAGGGATTCAAGTCGACCAACTGATCTCTGAAAAATTGTTGGAGTTGTTTAGATCTGAATGTGGAGTCCATCTAATTGATGCTGTATGTGTAGTGATGAAGGCAAGTACAAATCGACTCACCTTTGAACAGAAGTACATATTTGATGCAGTTTTTTCTTTATTTGGCAAAGATGTGAAGAAGAATATCGTGGCCCTCATTACACACTCAGATGGTTTGGAACCTACCAATGCTCTGCAGGCCTTAAAAGATTCTCAAGTCCCCTGTGCAAAAGATGACAGCGATCAATACCTTTATTTCCTATTCAACAACTCTCAAAGAAAGAGTGTTACCTCTGCAAAAGCAACTCAGGCCAAGAAAGAAGAACTTATCTTGAAGACTTTATGGGACAGATCAGAAGAGGGCATGAAGGATTTCACAGAATTCCTGGGTGGAATAATACCTCAAAATGTAAAGATGATTGAAGGCGTTCTGAGAGAGCGCAAACAACTGGAGGCGTGTGTCAGCAACGTGCGCAATCGGATCCACATGATTGATCTGAAACAGGATGAAATCAAGCAGACTGAAAGAGCCCTGGAGAATCACAAGAAATACATGGAGGAAAGCAAGGACTTTTCTTATGAAGTTGAAGAGAAATACAAAGGAAAGGATCCTACAATAAAAGGGGAGGCTACCACCTGCACAGTGTGTGAGGAGAACTGTCACTATCCAGGCTGCTGGTGGGTCAAAGATCTCTCATGGTGCCATGCGATGAAGAACTACCACTGCACTGTGTGTACTGGCAAATGTCACTACACCAAGCATGTCAAAGAAAATACAATGTATGTTCTCAAGACCAGGAAGGTTACAAGGACATATGAAGATTTGAAAAAGAAGTATGAAATCAATGAGAAAGCAGCTGAGGAGAAAGTGCATGTGATCAGCAGACTTCAGTCAGAGTTGGAGCAGTTCACACTACAGAAGGCCAAACTGGTGGAGGAATCCTACCAGTGTGTCGTGAACCTGGAAGAGAAAGCCCTAAAGGCCGTCTCACTGTCCACTGCTCAGCACCTGGACTTCCTGATTGACAAGATGAAGGAGACAGGAAACACAGAGAAGGTTCAGAAACTGGAGGAGATGAAGAAGAGAGCTGAGGAACACATGGGAGCTTTAGATTACTTTAAAGCTGGTGTGAGTGAAGGGTGGAATAGTTCCTGGGGAAAGTAAAACTGAGACATATAGTAAAGAAAAAACATTATGTGGAAAAAACACATGAACATAGAATAGAAAATAGATATTTGGGGGAATGAAAGCTGTTCTTCTTAATCCACTTTCTCTTCAAGAAATACAGTACATTTAAAGTTAACCAAATAATATGTTGTATCAGATTAATATAGATGGACCATATTTCTCTTTTAATTTCACCAATGCTATGTTTTGTTTGTTAATCATAACCTCAGATGATAAATAATTGCCCATATTAATAAAACACTTTTGTCAATAGCTTGTATAAATGACATTCTTTGTAAATTCATTTTAGTAAAGACAAAAAAAAGTGTCACTGAAATCTCATTGTGTTTAGAATGTAGGTTAATGATCTCTCATCATGTAGTGTGACGAAGAACAACCACTGCACTGTGTGCAAAGACAAATGTCAATACGAAAAGCATGTCAAAGAATACAAAATGAATGTTACCAAGACCAGACCGATTCTCAGGACATGAGGATTTGAAAAAGAAGTATGAAATCAATATGAAAGCAGCTGGGAAGAAAGAGACTCTGATCAGCAGACTTACATTTAAATGTTAGTCATTTAGCAGACGCTCTTATCCAGAGCAACTTACAGTTAGTGAGTGCATACATTATTGTTTAGAATTATTTTTAGTTATTTTTTATTTTTTTATTATTATTTTTCATAACCCCCGTGGGAATCGAACCCACAACCCTGGCGTTGCAAACGCCATGCTCTACCAACTGAGCTACATCCCCTGCCGGCCATTCCCTCCCCTACCCTAGACGACGCTGGGCCAATTGTGCGCCAACCCATGGGTCTCCCAGTCGTGGCCGGCTACGACAGAGCCTGGATACGAACCAGGATCTCTAGTGGCACAGCTAGCACTGCATCGCAGCCTTAGACCACTGCGCCACCTGTTTGGCCACTCAGAAGGCCAAACAGGTGGAGGAATCCTACCAGTGTGTCATGAACCTGGAAGAGAAAGCCCTAAAGGCCGTCTCACTGTCCACTGCTCAGCACCTGGACTTCCTGATTGAGAAGATGAAGGAGACAGGAAACACAGAGAAGGTTCAGAAACTGGAGGAGATGAAGAAGAGAGCTGAGGAACACAAGGGAGCAATGAGTTACTTCAGAACTGGATTGAAATGGGGTAAAGGGTTAGGAGGTAAAGTATTGAATACTTTAAAAGATAAGCTGCCAGACATATAATAGCTAGCACCATACCTGCATGCCATTGCTGGCTTTGGTCTGAAGCTAAGCAGGGTTGGTCCTGGTCGGTCCCTGGATGGGAGACCAGATGCTGCTGGAAGTGGTGTTGGAGGGCCAGTAGGAGGCACTCTTTCCTCTGGTCTAAAAAAATATATATCCCAATGCCCCAGGGCAGTGATTGGGGACATTGCCCTGTCTTTCGGCTGGGTAGTTAAATGGGTGTCCTGACTCTGTCTGTGTGGGCATTAAAAATCCCATGACACTTATCGTAAGAGTATGGGTGAAGGGGTGTTAACGCCGGTGTCCTGGCTAAATTCCAAATCTGGCCTTCATGGCCAACTAATTCTCCCCAGCTTTTAATTGGCTCATTCATCTGCCCTGTAACTATTCCCCAGGTTGTTGCTGTAAATGAGAACGTGTTCCCACTCAACTTAGCTGGTAAAAAAATAATACAAAGAAAGAACACTGGATTCCATTAATGTAATTCTATTTTAAACAATTATTATTTTTCATTTTTTAGGGGGTAGATCAGCTTTAATATCGCGGATAGATTGTGGCTTCCATCATCGGAATTGTCTGCATCATTTCCAATCCCCCATATATTTTTTTGTAAATATATATAAAAAATACACCACCGGTCAAAAGTTTTAGAACACCTACTCATTCAAGGGTTTTTCTTTATTTGTACTATGTTCTACATTGTAGAATAATAGTGAAGACATAAAACTATGAAATAACAAATATGGAATCATGCAGTAACCAAAAAAGTGTTAAACAAATCAAAATATATTTTCTATTTGAGATTCTTCAAATTGCCACCCTTTGCCTTGATGACAGCTTTGCACAGTCTTGGCATTCTCTCAACCAGCTTCATGAGGTAGTCACCTGAAATGCATTTCAATTAACAGGTGTGCCTACTTCAAAGTCAATTTGTGGAATTTATTTCCTTCTTAATGCGTTTGAGCCAATCAGTTGTGTTGTGACAAGGTAGGGGTGGTATACAGAAGATAGCCCTATTTGGTAAAAGACCAAGTACATATTATGGCACGAACAGCTCGAATAAGCAAAGAGAAACTACAGTCCATCATTACTTTAAGACATGAAGGGCAGTCAATCCAGAAGATTTAAAAAAACGTTGAACGTTTCTTCAAGTGCAGTTGCAAAAACCATCAAGATCTATGATGAAACTGGCTCTCATGAGGACTGCCACAGGAATGGAAGACCCAGAGTTACCTCTGCTGCAGAGGATAACTTCATTAGAGTTACCAGCCTCAGAAATTGCAGCCCAAATAAATGCTTCACAGAGTTCAAGTCACAGACACATCTCAACATCAACTGTTCAGAGGGGACTGTGTGAATCAGGCCTTCATGGTCAAATTGCTGCAAAGAAACCACTACTAAAGGACACCAGTAAGAAGAAGAGACCTGCTTGGGCCAAGAAACATGAGCAATGGACATTAGACCAGTGAAATTTGTCCTTTGGTCTGAAGTCCAAATTTGAGATTTTTGGTTCCAACCGCAATGTCTTTGTGAGATGCGGTGTGGGTGAACAGATGATCTCCGCATGTGTATTTCCCACCGTAAAGCATGGAGGAGGAGGTGTTATGGCGTGGGGGTGCTTTGCTGGTGACACTGTCTGTGATTTATTTAGAATTCAAGGCACACTTAACCAGCATGGCTACCACAGCATTCTGTAGCGATACGCTATCCATTCTGGTTTGGGCTTAGTGGGACTATCAATTGTTTTTCAACAGGACAATGACCCAACACACCTTCAGGCTGTCTGGGAACTTGCAGGTGCCTTGGTGGAAGAGTGGGGTAACATCTCACAGCAAGAACTGGCAAATCTGGTGCAGTCCATGAGGAGGAGATGCACTGCAGTACTTAATGCAGCTGGTGGCCACACCAGATACTGACTGTTACTTTTGATTTTGACCCTCCCCCCCCCCCCTTTATTCAGGGACATATTATTAAATTTCTGTTAGTCACATGTCTGTGGAACTTGTTCAGTTTATGTCTCAGTTGTTGAATCTTGTTATGTTCATACAAATATTTAAACATGTTAAGTTTTCTGAAAATAAACACAGTTGACAGTGAGAGGACGTTTCTTTTTTTGCTGAGTTTTATATTTCTTTTAAAATGTATTTTACTTTATTATTTCCCCCTAACCCTACCACCCCTCCCCTAATTGGAGTAAACTAATGGACAACAACACTTAGGCTTCCCAATATTGTCTTCGGAAGGAAACATTTTATTAAACTAGAAACTGAATCAGAATAACAAACAAAATTAGAATTACCTACCCCTGATAAATTCATAAGGAAATTATTTTAACCCATAAGGGGATTCAAGGAATAGACTAGAGAACGGTTTATTTCACACCACTCATGCACTTGTTGTATGTGAGTAGCATATGTAAAAGTGATATTTCATTATTTTGTATATACTTTTTGCAACAATTTCTAAAAACCTGTTTTTGCTTTGTCATTATGGGGTATTGTTTGCATTGGCCACCCGTCATTCTGGGCCCACATTTGTAGCTAAGAAATACAGTAAAATAAAATAAACTTTTTTGTTTGGGGGGGGTTGCCTGTTTTGCATGTTATTTTGCCATTAATATGTGTCACATATCAGTTTGCAAACAATGTAAAATAAATAAATAATAATCATTGAGTTAATAAAGCCATATACAAACATGGTCTCTTTTTGCTTTCTTGAGTAAGGCAGCTCCAAAATGCAGGTGTTTCAGCTTAGCTCAGTGCTTTATGTGGTTGTGGGGTAGCCAGCAGAGCGTAGGGGTTGGTAATGTTCTGTAGTTGCGACGTGATTGGCTCAGTGTTCTGTCACTCATGAGGAACACTATGTCACCGCCAAATCTAAGGGTAGAGCTCGAACATTCAAGCCCCTTGGGTGCTGCCATGGAGTTACATTAGAAGTGCCCATCCAAGAAGGCTCAAGGGCATTGGCCACAGATAAAATGACTTCAAATCTCGTTATATCTACAGTAGCTTTGATTGGACTGATAATGTCAACATCATATTTTCAAAATCTTAGCTAGCAGTTATCATCATAAATCAAGTCGACATCTACTTGCAAATCCTTTTTCATCCTTGTCATATGAAGAGAAATAATTAAGAGAAATTATAGATAAAATGTATCAGTGCTCATCGGCCATTGGACATAAACATTGCACAACAAGTTGGAAATCGCAAATTCAACAATGAGTGGTTTGGAAGGAATCAGTGGCTAACTGCAAGCATGGCAAAGCAATCACTAGCCTGCTATTCAGTGGAGTTGCTGTGTGGTACGAAGTCTGGGTTTAAGGGTCTCTTTTCCAAGTTTTTTGTGTTATTACATACAGTCGGGAAGAACTATTGGATATCAGAGATGCGGTAACTCACCAGCACTGCCAGCATCACGACCAGGAACACGACTTTCCCGAAGCGGATCCTTTGTTCGCACCCCCCAGGGCAATTGAACTGATTCAGGCCCAGGAGGGTAAATCACAGAATAAATGGTTTATTCCGTAACACAGCGGTACGCAGCAATGCGCACTGGAGAACAAGAAGGCACACGGGTGTCGTTACTGTACCCCCCCCCCCCCCCCTTGACGCACAGCTCCAGCAACACGCCGACACCTGCCTCAGGGACGACCAGGAGGATGCGGAGCAGGGCGAGCCGGACGACGACAGTGGAAATCCCGCAACAGGGAGGGGTCGAGGATATCCCTCACCGAGATCTAATTTTGTGAAAAAGGACTCCCCATGCATTGACTCAATTACAG